CTCCAAGGCCCTCAGTATTTCCATTTTCGTCGCTAAATTCTCAGCCTAGTACAGCTGCAACGGAAAACGAGTAGCACAACTGACCAGTAATCGGAGCGGAGAAATCGCGACACTCGGCGCTATTTTTCCCAAGCGCCGATAGCGAGAGTGCCAGTCACATTGCATTTTTCAATGCAGGGGTGGCCGGCGAAAAATTGAGGGATAGGATAGTTGTTAAAATGGTGGGCATTAGGATCCCCGCACTGAGGCATAAAACGTGACTGTCACTCTCGCTATTGGCACGCTCGGGAACAATAGCCCTGCGTGTCGCGATTTTGCCATTCCGGTCGTCGGTCACTTGTGCTACCCTTTTTCCGTTGCAGCAATGCTTCTGCCGCTTCCGTGCCAGGAGAGTAACGCGCTGAAGCACGGCGATCCAGAGCAAAACTGGTGCGAAACACGGAGAACCGGAAAAGCGAAGAACCATGGGAAAACCGGAAAAACCACGTGTGCACTTCGGATGGATAGCGGTCATACCTTTTGGAACAGACTATAGCTAGCGCCACCTGCCGAATTTGTCCGAATTAACCATATTGCGCCGCATTCCCTCCGAATTAATGAGCGTTTGCTGCCCCTGACTAATACATACGTTTGACGGGACCGGATCGGCAGTTCAAATTATCCGAATTTTCGAATTAGCGGGGGTTGAATTAATGAGGTTTTACTGTACCTTAAACTCGGTGCTCCTTCAGTAACATAATCTTTAACCTTACTTACTTAGTATTTATTTGGGGCACAGATCAATGGGTCAACGAATCTGCAAACAATTGAGCTTCCTGACACAGTGCCCATTCAAAACTCATCCTTATCCATCAAAAGATCGAGTCCCTTGGGACAACCCAAAGTCCCGCAGCTAAACAACAGCTCCTTTGGGGAACTGTCTCTGTTCCCTTACGTTAACGTGAAGTATGAAGCTCTTCTAGAGCCACGCCGTTGTCATTAGTTAGGAGTTGGCAAATAGCTTGTCACTGGTCTTGCTATTGTCTTTGTTACGCCCGTGTCGGCGGCCTTCTAAATTGAATGAAGGCGAAGAATCTATGAGCTAAATTGTGTCTTTGAACTGTATTGCATAGGCTGGTTGCTGCACTGCCCTTGAAGAGAGGGCCTTGAAAATACCTTTTTGACAGTAAATATGAGATGCACATCTTGAGGGGCTTCTGAACAAAATGGCATTCATTTCAAATGTCTTATACATGCAGCGGAGATATAGCTGTAAATGAACGTGACCTCTAGGGTGCCTACATGTTTCCGCCGCTCCGCTGTTTAGGGTGGCGACAATGTTTGTAATACTTGTTGCCGACAAACCAGTGTTGCCTACCGTTACCATGGCAACCTCTGCTGTTTTCATCAACCATTTTGTCACACTCGCCGGTTGTGCGCTCGCCCCGCAGGGGGCACCTGTGAAAGCAGGTGTTTGGAGAGTGGCGTATCCACGGACCCCGAGCCATGCGGGTTTGCCCGCCCACGTCTGGCTGTGCGTGGCTTTCCCGTGTCCAGGGAAAAGGGCATCCTGGTGGTTGAGCCGAGCCCGGGGTAGGTTTGGACCCTTCAGGGCCCCCCGGGTGAGGCAATACACCACTTCGGCCCCTGCTTCTCGTAGACGGGAGTCCTGGTAAGGCCTGGCCAGAATGATTCAGTTTAGTCGCCTTTTCTTTTACTATCCCCTCTTTCTCTTTTCTCCTTTTCCCGCTCCCTCACTTTCACCTTCTTTGGCGGCAAGGGCCAACCTTGTGTGGTGGCAGATACCCTTATCCTAACCACACTTGGGTATAGCACCTGGGCAAGTGCTAGTAGATCAGCGGTTCCAGCAAAGCCCATTTTGTTATGGGCTGCTGACTACTCCCTAAGTTGGGTTCGATAGTGGGCGGCACACCGCAGGCGCCGAAATCCTTTTTCCATTCATATGGGTACCAAAACTAAATCTTTCCTTGATCGGGCGCCGAAAAGGGTCCGGACCGAAGAGACAACATCAACAAGCCTTGTGGGGTCTTGTCAGCCCCCCTCTCGTCGACAACCGGACGCCGGCGCCTGGGGACTCGTTTTCGGTCCCCTCCGTGGCGAGGACAGCGCCTTTGAGGTTTGGTTTCCGAGTGCCTCCTTCCTCGGGACCCATCTTGAAGACATTGGCAGTGTCGGCGGTGGACATCATAGGACCCCCTCTCCCGGACAGCGTCGGCGCCCGAGGCCCTGCACGTGCTACGGCAGAGCCAGACGGGGAGCTCCAGCGAGAGACCGCCTAAGATGGAAAAGAAGAGGCTCCGGCCGGTCTGGTACGGGGTGACGGCGGGAACAGCGGGGAAAAGCTCGGACGACGGGAAAAAGGAAAGGGACTCTTGCACGGAAAACGGGCCACGACGGACGTTCGCGGTGGTGGCGACCGCGACATCGGCTCGGGCGACGGCCCGGTGACATGGTCCGGATTTAGACCTTGGATTCGACCCTCGACGGCGACGTCCACAGGATGTGGTGTAGACTAGCACCGCACGGACGATCGGCATGCAGCATACAGTGGCGGCGCACCCCCTCCAGGCTTCCTCGATTGCCTGTCCCAATCCCGAAATTCCCCAACAGATTGTGGGTGGATTAAACCCCTTCTGCCGAGAGCTGTGCGTTGCCTTGTCACGTTCATCCGGAGGCAGGGGCCTGGGGAATCGGACGAGAACCCTACAGCCTTACCTTGCCAGTCATGAATTTGCCCAAATTTATAGTAATGCACTCGGAGAACGACGATCAACCGCTTGCAAAGCTTTCCCCGTTCTTAGTCGCAAAGGCCCTAGAAACTGTAATTGGAAAATCTTTTAAAGCCAAAAAACTTCCATCTGGCGACCTGCTTGTGGAGGTCGCAAATGCTGAGCAAAGCAAAGCACTTCTTGCACTCAACCAAGTAAGAGATTACAAAGTATCAGTGACTCCACATCGCTTACTGAACAGCACACAGGGTGTCATCTCTGATGATGATCTACTTGGAATATCTACCGACGAGATACATGAGGGACTTCAAGATCAAGAGGTGGTCGCTGTGCGACGTATCACTAGCCGTCGGGACGGTGAAGAACGGGACACAAAACAGATTGTGCTAACATTCAACTCGACAACGCTCCCCTCCACAGTTAAAGCCGGCTATTTCAACTGCAAAGTTCGCCCCTACGTTCCCAATCTAAGGCGTTGCTTCCGCTGCCAGCACTTTGCTTGTCATTGGTTTGGCACGTAAAACCCCCAAACTTGACTTTTTGGTTTCTTTGGCTGTTAAGTCCTTCTCGAATACATAACTGGCTCTCGTGGGAAAATGCCACAATAAGTATTGTCGCTCCAAAGCCAACAGAAGTTTCACTTTGGAGCAGGGTAAAGAATAAAAATCGGGACAATTCTAATCATAATTTATATTGTGATGTACATCATGATTTGGATCTCGGCCGTTTTACTACAGTCAAACCTCGATGTAACGAAGTCGCTAAAATTCGGAATTTACTTCGTTGCATTGAAATTTTGCTACATACAAATTCAAGGCTAACGTTAAAGAAAGTTTCCAGATATGTTTCTCGGGTGAAGAAAACTCGGAGGACGCCTCTATTTCGGTTGAAAGTAGTCCATCACCTTTTTCTGAGCCACCCTTGGCATTATTTTTGGCGTCACACGACGCTTGCATAACCAAACGGCCTGCATTGCGTCTTTGTCCTGCTGTGGGATCGCGAACCGCCTCGACATTGATCGCGTCCACCACTTCACGGTTACTGGGCACATCGCAGGCGTCCTGCACATCAGGCTCGATGTCGTCCCAGTCTTGCGAGTTACCACGAGCATCGCTAGCTATTGCCTCGTCGGTCACCTCCTCCGTTGCAATGACAGCAGAGTCTGCGTATATAAAATCGTCATAATTGACGTTGTCAGGGGCTACTCCATCGCCCAAGGCAACGAGAAACGCACGCTTTTAGTTAGGCCTCGAAACAAACTACTCAGCGCGAACGAAGCCTACGGACGAAGCGGCGGCGACTCTAGTGTCGTCTAGTAAGCCGTTCTGTACACCACAATCGCCAGATTCGGCCCGTTTCACTCTTCGCGTTTTATCGGGGGCCCATTTCAGCGCATGTGCTTCCCAAAATCTCCTTTGGGACCCACAAGTTTGTGACAAATTGTCCATAAAATTTCGTTATATCGAAATTTCGGCAAACGGGACTTCGTTACACAGAGGTAAAAAATACATGGCGTGCATACACTTGCGGTTAAAAAAAGTTATGTACTTCGTTACATCGGGGGTTTCGTAACATTGAAGTTCATTACATCGATGTTTGACTGTATATGTTTGAAATCAAACCTTTTCCGAGCAAATAGTCCCAAATATATGTATATTTTTTTTGTTTTTTTATTATTCAATGCTTTCTATGTCCACTTGTTTCATACTTAATTAAAGAAATCGTCATACAAAAAAAACTTTATAGCAGGCTAAAGATTAGCAAAAAAAACTCTGCTCTTCTGGGTAAATCGAAGCTTTGATTGTGCTTTCTTTCTACCTTCCGTTTCATTCATCGTTTGTGTAATGTCCTATTGTAAGCAAATCGGAAAGCGTAAGAAAAAAACAAAAGTTGTATTCCAAGGAAATCGGAATGTGAAAGAAGCAAATAAAATTTTTTCACAACCAAAAATAAACCAAGCTGCACTTTGTTTTATTATAGCGGGGTTTACATCAATAAAAACTTGTTAATTAAACTGTACTTTAAATTTATAGTAATGCTTTGTTCCGCATTGTTTTCAATGACCAAACAAATTTATCAATTAATCTGCCGTGCTTAAAAATACATCTAGTAATAGTCACATCTTTCTAGCTACTGCGATTTAAATCATATAAATCTTATTCAACTCAAAATAATCTGATTTCTCGAAATATTTTTCACTCTGCAAGCTCGGAGCCTTTCTAAGCAGCATACTTGTAGCGTGATGCCTGAGAATCTCGGTCCTCTGTCCAGATTGAGTTCACGGCCATGCGTGACCAGTACATGCGTTGCGGAGAGGGTTTCGTCATCTGCTACGCCATCACAGACCGGAGGAGCTTCGAGGAGGCTGCGGAGTGTCGGAAGCAGATTGAGCGTGTCCGCTGCTCCGAGTCTGTGCCCATGGTGCTGGTGGGGAACAAGTGCGACCTAGAAGGCTCCCGACAGGTTTGTGTCTTTTTGTTCCACTCTGGGGCCTGGAATCGTACCATCTCCCGAAGCCCTGCCAAAGCATTTCATGCTAGTCCATACCGTTATGCCAAGCTCAAGACCGAGCCGCTTTTTAAAAGAAAACTACACTCGTTTTGCATGAAGACTTGATGGCATTAAATCGTGTCTATATATATATGAAGTGGACACCCTGCAAATAAGAAATGTTGTGTTTGGAGCAAGCGCTCGGCGTGCAAACCGAAACATACCAACGGGCACCTGTGAATAATCCCAGCTGGTTCAATCCACTGGCACGTTTAGAACTAAAATTCAACGAATAAATGTCACCTTCTGACTCACTGGTGTCACTTTCATTTACAAAATTTATTACACTTGCACCAATGTTTTTGAGGGGCGTCGGCGCTCGATCGTGCTCGATGCGATCACTCACGATCCTGGAACTTTAAAGTCGCATGAAAAATTGCACCCTCGCAGGACAGCAAAAATCGAGACCAAAACTCAATGTAGAGTTTCTCCGTAACATCCTAGATGGTGCCACATGTAAAACAAAAACGGCGCTGAATGCATTGAAACGGGGTTTAGGATTGAGCGATTCAATAGATAGATTTAAATAGGTGCTGTAAGGAAAGAGTTAAAGGGACACTGACACCCCCCCCCCCCCCCCCCCCCCCCCCCCCCCCCCCCAAAAATTTTATTTTATTTTTTGCCAGGCGCTTCATTATGGTGTCGGAGGACTACCCAATTAATATTTTGCAACAGAGTAGCATATTTTTTTAATAAAGCCAAAAGACGCAACTGCTCGAAACCGAAACCCGACGGAGGTCGGAGAAGTGGAGAGAAGAGAGTGAGTGGCGGAAGTCACGTGGCTACACCCAACCGTGCGTTTTTTTTTTTTTTCTCCTTTCCGGTAGCAGACGACACGACATGCGGCGTGCGATGCGGCGTGCGGGAACTGCTTGCCGTGCAATTCTTTTGCAGTTATGTCTGTTCCGCTCGTTGTTCTGTACTCCAAGATGAGTTGTTTTGTACATTGAGGAGTTGGAGATGAGTAGTGAGTGCCCGTGGTGAATTTCCATGATCGGCTCTGAAAAGAATAAACCCAAGATGTTGCGTGAAGAGCTGGCTCACATGTCCTGCATCCGAAAAAAAGTGGCATTGTGCGACAGAGTTTTCGAAAGATCAACGGGATCGGGAGCAATGGCTGGCTGCGATTCCTGTAGAACATTTATGGGCACCTCGGAAAGCGGACGCTACCTGATTTATATGCTCCTTGCATTTTGTGGAAATTGATTACATTGAGTTTGCAGGTGTCAAAACGGAAATCCCATACGGTTTAGTTCAGCGAAGTATCGTCCACAACATTTGTTTGTTATTTTTTTGTTCGTTTCTTCAGTGATGATTGTAAAAAAAAAAAGAAAAAGATATGTAAACATCGGAAAATGTTTGAAAAAAAAAAAAGAAAAAATTCACGGGGGATCGAACCCGGTCCTACTGCGTGTGAAGCGGACGTCTTTTCCACTGAGCTACTGGGGCATCCCGTTTCTGGTGGATATCTTTCCTTAGTAATAATTCAGCCGGTAAACTGTAAGTTGGAAAGTTTGCTGTCGATTTTTCTCTAGCAAAAGCACTCCCGGGTCGAAGTCGGGAAGCACCACGCTTTGGGGACATTCGCACCTAGTAAAGAAATCGTACGCGTGCATATTCAACTCGAAGTAGACACGTCGTGCTTGACGTTTGCTCGAGCGTTGTCTTCAGCCATGAGAAGGGAGCGACGGCTCGGCGACGTCTTCGTGCAAGTCGGCTTGGTGGCCGGGCGTGTCGTACGGGATGAATACCAATTCTTTTGATCAGTCCCAAATTTCTCTTTTAACGGTAGACAGAATTCGCCGGTACCCGCGAACGACAGTTCTGAAATAGAGGTCCCACGCCCGTCGTCCGCTGCCATCGCCGTCCCCGCGAGTCCCACGATACGCGAAACGACGAACGCACAGAATGCTTCCGGTTGTCTGTGGAACTTTTTTTTTTTCAATCAACGTATTTACAGCCTTTTAGAAGCCACAAGAAATGGGTTTCATATTTTTTTCTATTTTTAATATTTAGTGTGTGCCTTCAGTGACCCACGACTTTGATTAAATTTGGTGGTCGCATCGATACCTTAGAAAACGGCCCGTGACCGCGAAAAAGAGAGTGAGCGAGACTCGAACCGGCCAATTCTTGATCGGCGGTTTTCGGGCGGAAAGAAACCGAATTTCGAGCCGCAAATTCTGTTCTGGGTAGTTGAGCTCCCATATGTCACGTACAACTAAAAACCTCGGTGACCATAAATACCCTGTCAGTGTCCCTTTAAGGACCATCATGGGGAGGGCTCGCTATTAAAAGTTTAGCAACCCATAAAAATGGCAACTCAGCATTATAAACTTCTAAATATTGTCACAAACGACAATTGATAAGGCGATGATAACTGAAGAAACTAAGCGTTTAATGGAGTGAACTTGTGCCCAAAACAAAAAGGAAACTGAAAATAACAGAGCGTCACGGGCATCGAAACAGCTGGATCGAACGCTGGGGCGAGACTGACTCCGGCCCGCCACACAGAGCACCTTTTGTACTCGCATGTTTCTCTGGAACATTTCGGCCTAGAACGTTCTGCTCGTAGAATATTCGTAACTGGATCGGACGAGAAGGTTCTCGAACTTACTAGAATGCCAAGTAGAGAGAATAAATAAAAGAAGATTCTGCTCCCTGGAATCAAACCCGGATCCTTTGTGCGACAGCCAAGCATGCTAACCACTCGGCCACGCGCTCGCTCGCTCGCTCGGCGACGCGTGTGGCATTACTCCCTTTAAAAAGAGCACAGTCCCGATGCAACTTGAAAGGCAACAAAACAGAGCAAGACAAACAAAAGAATGGGAAAATACAGAGGCTGGCAAAACGCAATCCGATCAAGCGTTGCACAAGATCACGGTTCAGTCTTATTGTGCGTAGTACGGCTTGAGACGCACGACGTGGACGACTCGTGGTCGTGGAGGGCGGCATGATGAAGTCAGTGTTCTGTCAAGCATCACCTCGTAGTTCAGAACCCCGAGTCAACAAAGCACTTTGTAGGGTCCGAAGTAGCGCTTCAGGAGTTTCTCACTTAGACTGCGTCGTCGTATCGGGGTCCAAACCCACACACGGTCTCCGGGCTTGAAGCGAATGTTGATTCAGCGAAGATTGTACTGGGTAGCGTTGACACGTTGTTTCCTACCTGCCAACTCTTCAGAATTTTTCGTAAAATTGTGAATTAAAACTAGTTCTGTGATTTTACAAATCTTGCTTCAAATTTTACAAAAAAAAATAAAAAGAAAAACTTTTTTATTTTTATTAAAATTTTTTTTTAGTAAAATTGCTGCTGGCGTTACCAACCGGCGGACTCTTCCTATACCTCCCATTGGGACTCGAATTGCAGACGGCAGCGCCAAATCTCCCCTAACGGGCGTTGGGTTTCTCCAAAAGCAATAAAAAATAGACAAACCAATACGCGCGCCGTCGTCATGGCAACCGCTTGTTTATGGGAGAGGGTGTGAGAAGTGTTGTCCCTCCTCTCCCTCTCTCTCACCCTCGGCGACGAAAGGATGCGAGTTCGTTCGGAGTTCGGAGCAGCCTCCGAACTCCGAACGAATTTGCATCCTATTGTCGCTGATGTTGAGAGAAGAGGGAACTGCTCCCATTGCCGCCGTCTCGTTCTTCTACAATACAATGTGTTTACCTTTTTTTTGCGAATGTCCGACACTCCGAAACGATTGCACTTGACTTTGCGTCGCTCGATTGATATCAGCTCGGCAACAGTGCATGTTCAGTGACAGCCAGTTCTCACAAAATGGTCACTCAATGAATGCAAAGTACGCCCAACCGCTGCTGTTTAGCGGGTTAAGATGGGCGCACATCGCCAGTCTGAGCACAAGTCCAAACTTCTTTTGCAAGTTCTCTTTTTATTAGGCACGCTCTTTATACAGAGAGAAAAAAAAAAAAAATTTTCACTGCACGGCACAACAAAGTAACAAAATCTACACAAAACTACTATTCAGGTATTCACAGACCTGCAATAACACATTTAACTTTGCGGTAGTCAGCGACAGTGATTCGATCGCCACGGTCTCTCGCAGGTTCCTTCTGCAGCGAGCTGCTCCACGCACGAGCTGCGGTGCTCTAACACCGATACCGCCCACACCGCTCATTTTAAGATACATGCGCTGTCCCTTGTGACCTTCTACAATAACTCTACCACAAAGAAACATGCACCAGCAAGTTTTCGGCAATCCGAAACTGTATAACCAAAAGTATAGCAGCCCGTCTTTACCTTTCGTCACTCGACCGGGAACCCAAAGAACTTGGCAGAGATGTTGCCACTGGAATTAGAGCACCACTAAGTCGAGCAATAGACAAGGTTTCGTTTCCTCCGTGTTTTGGTAGAAGAAATAGACCGATAACCAATAGGTCAACGCCACTGCCCGCTGCCGTAAACGGAAACCACCACCGCACCGTTGGCACAGGCGTCGTCGAGCAGCCGACGCATCCGCGAGCGCGGCAGCCGACGCGCAACTGTTCTCAACGGTCAAAATACAAAAAACAACCGGCCAATGAGAGCAAAGTATGAGGGCGAAACTTTAGCTAACCAAAATATTTGTTTCATCTTACCAGGATAATTTTTGAAATCTGTAAGCAGCAACAATAATATGTATCTCATCCTATTAAATAAACTTTCCGGCGTAAACCGGAAAGATTTAATAGAATACCAACGGATAAGAGATGGCGCTCAAATAGCTAAACGGAAGTCGCTCGAAGTGTCCGCCGGTTGGCGCTACCTTGTACCGCCACAAGAGGGCGATAGGTACCGTCCACGGCAGCGTCGTGGTTCTTACTCTCTGTCTTTCCGGTGGCCACAGATCCAAAACCAGCCCAAAGCTTTCGTCCATGTGTTCAGCGATGCACGTTGGTTTGGTGTGTGGGGCCTCGCT